GGTATTTTTCCACCTTCCCCTCCCCTCACACATGGTTGACTCTTTTGAGAGAAAAAGCAATATATGTGGTAAGCATTATGCTACTTCCACTAGTATGGGGATCATTTCATCTTCTACAGCTTGTGTGTGTGTGTGTGTTTTTCCCCTAAGGCTAATTCAAGCATAACTGAAAACCTACCTAGAGAGAAATGGGACTACATTGCTCCTCCATGAAACAGCAGTGTAGTTTAACTCTTGCACTAGATACAAACATCCTGTTCTTAGGAAGGAAGATTTAGTTTTATAGCCCATTCTCCCTATGCGCTTACTTTAATCACTGCATTCAGTCAGCATCTTCTGTCTCATACAGCCACGCCTATACATGACTTGGAGGTGACAAAGTGCGTAATTTAAATGTGGTGGGTTATGCATGGCTGAATAACTGAAAAAAAAACACCTCCAGATGTGACTGAGAAGTGGCACAGGGCTACCTAGTGATGTGTACAAACATTTGACATTTCCAACCTAGCTCTGTCAGTAGATATTAGAAACAAATGGAAATAAAGTGCCTGGTGCTGAAACACAGCGAGCATTCTTTCCATGCATTTATTTCAATGGAAGCTGATGACCCGCATTTTGCAGGCTGGAGTCCTATAGTGATAGCACTTACTGCTTACTGTGCCTACTGCTCATACCACTGTTATAAGAATTCCACTGCTCATACCGCTGTAAATAAGAATGTAGAGCCTCCTTTAGGAACCAAGAAAGTTAAGTGTTCGCTCAGATTGACAACACCATGTTGTTTTGCATTCCCACATCTGGGACATAGGATAACGTATTAGTGCTGCTAAAGTCAAAGCCAGAATTCATAGTGCCTTCTACAAAATGAGGATTTAATCCAGGAATTTTTCAAGTGCAGTGAGCACCAGTGAAATCTTTTTCCTTCACTAAGAACAAATGTATCTGTCCTGCATCTAAAATATGACCATTATCTTAGGAACAGATATTAGATAACCCTGGATATTTTCCAAATTCATATTAAAATATGAGGCATTCCCTGGGCAGCATTGGAACAGGCTGCTCAGGGAAGTGGAGGAGTGCCCATTCCTGGAGGTATTCAAAAGATGTGTGGATGTGGCACTAAGACACCTGGATTGGTGATGGGACTCAGGAGGTCAGGTTGATGGCTGGACTTGATGATCTTGAAGGTCGTTTACAACCTAAGTGATTCTGTGATTTCTTCTGCAAGTGAATATACTTCTATATTCTGAATATGCTGAAAAGAAACTGTCAGTTGACAAAGAGCAGAACTTCTTCCAGGAATACTCATTTCCAATATCTTCCAGAGGCATGTAGGCTTTTCATTATGGAAAAAAAAAATTACGCTTGCCTAGAGAGACTGAATTTTCATGCCAAGTTTTGACCTTCCCAGCTATGAAAATGAAGTTCACATTACCTATACAGTCTACTGAACCCTAAAATTTCACACCCATAATTAGGAATAAGACAGGCCAAGCGGCCTGGCAGTGCTCATTTTCATATGTATTAGGTTAGCAAGTTGCACAAGGCAATCTATTCAGCTCTCAAGAGCATGTGCTGATCGGAGGCTCTGCTATGCAGGAATCTTACCAGCATTTTTAAATAATCTCTAAAACAGAGAGTAAATCATCAAGTTTTTATCTTATGAATCATGAAAATTGAAAACATGCTTCTTTCTATAGCCTTTGATTTTTTTGGAAGATGACCCACCCACATTTTTCTGAAGCTCCATTTCTTCTTTACAGATTTTTAATTCCTTTTCCTTTCTATGTCTTCTGAAGCTCTAGCCTGATTCTTCTTTTACTTCTGTATAAACGAAGAATGGCTCCAGTGATAACAGTGATTTAAGAAGTGCATATTGGTTTTATGTTGTGACTCTGCTGTGTTAAAATCTGTTGAATTATTCTTAAATTAGACTGAAATCAAAATCAGGCCCACGGTATTTATTTTAAAGTTAACTGACAGTTGTCCTATGTAACTGCATTTTATCCCATCATGAAAGTTGCTGCCATCATGTGCTTTCATGTACAGGAGTTATTTCCATTCATAATGTATTACGTAAGGATCTCAACAGCAGAAACACCTCTGTGTCAGAGCTCTATTTGTTTGCTGCTCTTTCTAAAGATCAGGTCCTTCTGGAGCACAGAATTTGTTTTATTTTTATTTTTTACTCATTCTTTATTCTCTTATGCCTGAAATACATCAGTTATTACAGATTTTTCCCTCTTTAACTGTGTTCTATTTTCCATTTGTATAACACAAATGATTCCCTTTCCTACAGCTTTGGAATTTCCATTTCCTCTTTGTCGCAATGTCCTTTGTTCCCATGTCCTTCCTTTTGTCTAGTACTTGAGAAAAAAACAACCATTTTTTATAATGTATTTTCTAAACAATTTACTTTTTCTTTACCCTAGATCTTCTAGGTCCTGATGCTAAGTGGAAGACAACAAACTGATTTTCTTGCTTGAAGGTGCAAACTTGATTTCCTATGTTTATTCACTGCTATTCGGGAGGGACTTCCTGGTATGAACAGGACAGGCAAAATGAGGGTGTGTGGCAGAAGAGAAAAAAGACATCTATAAAAGTGTCTAGATAGTGTCTAGAGGAGAGAGCTAAAAAGCTTGTTTCCCATCATGCATTCAACTGCCATTCATGAAATTAAAAGGAAAGCATTAATTAAATTGGTATTTTACTTTTTTTTTTTTTTTTTTTTTTCTGGATCATAGGAGAAACCAACCTTCTGCTTACAAAGGAAATTTCTATTTCATAGTAATGCCAGTCATCCACACTGGGCCACCCTTCTGTCCAATACACTTGGGAATTTCCACTGCCAATTAAATTTTCTTTGACTGGATCTCTTTGGATGAAGTGTAACTCAATCTTTGGTTCTCCTTGAGCCAATCACTACAGAAGAATGTGAACCATCCTGTTCTTTTTCTGATGCTGTTGAAATGCTGGTATCTGCCTGTGCTACAAAGCTCTAGGAAGGCAGTGTCGTTAGTCTGATTAGAATTAGTGGGTAAATGCTGGTGGCTGTACACAGGAAACAAAAGTTAAACATTTAAATACCACCTGATTGCTGTCACCCTTTCTTCAAGCAAGTGTACTCGCCTAAAATGTGTGAAATGGATTCAAATCTTCCTGCTGTGTGATGGGAGAGGAATGACAGCTCAGAGTTTCCTAATCAAATGTATCAGGTGGATTGCAGACAGCTTTTTCCCTTGACGTTGCTTTTACTTGCATTGAATGCCTAAATGTTCATTGGCTCAAAAGGGGGCACAAGTCTGCAGTCCTCAGTAATTAGGACTCCTGGGGGAGAAGGGCTCACACAGGTTCTGGACTCCACTCCTGTGAAGGAGTAACATCAAAGTCCTAGAAGTTCCTTAGCAGCCTGTTCTCCGAACTGCGAATTCTGATTCCCTCTTGGAGCAGTTGGGTGCTGAAGAGGCTCTGCAGTGCTGATCTCCACCTCTTTTTAGATCTAGCTGTAGATGACCCACTGAAGTTTTCAAGATTTTTAAGAGTCCACATCAGAGTGGAGAACTCACCTGCTTCATGTGGAGCCTGTACAAAGAGCTTGGTCTAATTTCTTCACTGCTTGCAGAGTCATTTCCATTATTCCTTGTAACAGCTACAGGGAGCTTCCAGGGGAAATGCCATACTACAAGTATGGCATTAATATTATATAAGGCAACTCTTAGAGCAGCAGGCACACGTTTAGTGCTGCTGCTCTGTAATTCATCCCATCTTGCTGCAGGCAAAGCCCACCAAACAGCACAGTTCTGTCATGTTTTGCAGGATCTCTCATTGTCCCCCGGCATCAGTTACTCCCAGGCTGAGGCCCAGCCATCTCCCTTGCTGCTTGGATTCCCAAAGCAACAAGGATGGCAAGGAGAGAGAGGAAAACTGCCTTTTCTAGGGACCTTTTCCAGGCTTGACCTCTCCCTCCTGTTCAAAGCCAGTGTAAGTTGGATGGCACAACAAGCACCTTCCATCAAAGGGCTTTTCTTGAGCAGGCCTGGTTGCAGTGACAGGAATGCCTGCTGCTTCCATAGGAACAGCCTCTGCAAAGCTTTCCACTCAGTGCTGCGTACGTCAGGTTAGCTCCCAATCGTGCCCAGGTGTTTATGGAATATGGGGACAGAAACACTGCACTGTTACCTAAAATCCCTTCTGAACCCAATCCCTGCTTCCTTCCAGAAGACCTCCAAAGTCCTTCAAATGCACCTTCAGGTAATTCTTGTTCTATAATTCTTGTTCTCTGAGGTAAGTCACACGAACCTCACAGTGCCCCAGTCACTTCAGATGACCCCACTCACAGAGAAACACCGTGCTCAACCCCTAAAACATTTTCATCCTCTTTCTTAAGTTTAACCCGTATTCAGCCCCGATCTGGCAGTCCACACTGGCTGCGTGCTCCAAGGCAGCAGCATCCTCCAAGTGCCACAGCAGGCAGCCAGTGCCTCTGCAACTCCACCTGCCAGCAGCTGAGCAGCCATGGCAGGTTTTGCCCTGCGAGCTCCAGAGAGCCTCACTGCATCTGCATCACGGGCGTTTTCAGAGGAAGCGGGGGGTGTCACTGGGGGCGTAATCCAAGGGTCGACAAAAACATACCGCTGGCTGTCATTTTGAGATCGCTCCTGTTTCCCCGAGCAATCCTCACGAACGGGGTTTGTATGCCGGCGAAGAAACGCGAGCGGCGCTCGCCTCCAGCCCTCCTTGAAACGCGGCTCCGTGCCGAGAGAGCAGCGGAGCAGCCTCGGCATCTCCCCCCCCCCCCCGCACCTCCCGCACACAGCGCCCGCTCCCCGCCGCGGGCCCCGGTGAAGGCGAGGCAGCGCCCGGGGAGCCCGCAGCAGGCGGCGGGGGCGCCCCGCAGGGACCGCGGCACCCCCCGGCCCCGCAGCCCCCCGCAGCCCCCCGCAGCCCCCGCAGCCCCCATCCCCGCACTCGCCCGGGTCCCCGGCGCCGTCCCCGCTCACCTCCACGAAGTAGAAGCAGGGCAGCAGGGTGACGCTGTCCTTGGTCACCTTGCCCTTCGGCCGCTCCTTGGCGGACATGGTGCCGGGCTGCGGGCGGCGGCCCCGCGGCAGCGCTCCCCCGGCCGCCGGCAGCCGCGGGTCTCCTCCGCCCGAGCCGCGTCCCCTGCGCCGGGCTGACGTCAGGGGGCGGCGGGGGGCGGCGGCGTTAACTCCTTCGGGACGGGGCGGGGGGGGGGGAGGGATGGATGGGGTGGGTGGATGGGATGGGATGGGATGGGATGGATAGAATGAGATGGGATGGGATGCTGTGGGATGGGATGGGATGGATGGGATGGGATGGGCTGGGAGAGGATGGGATGGATTGGATGGGATGTGATAGGATGGGATGGGATGGATGGGATGGAATGGGATGGGATGGGATGGGATGGGATGGATGAGGAGATGGGATGGGACTGGGATTGGGATGGGATGGGATGCGATGGGATGAATGGGATGGGATGGGATGGGATGGATGGGATGATGGATGGCTGGATTGGATGGGATGGGATGGAATGAGATGGGATGGTGCTGGGATGGATTGTGGATGGGGGGCTGGGAGGGGATGGTCTGATGCGCTTGGGGGGTGGCTGGTGGTATGGGATGGATGGTATGTGGATGTGATGGGATGGGATGGTTGGTATTGGATGGGATGGGATGGGATGGGATGGGATGGGATGGGATGGGATGGATAGAATGAGCTGGGATGGACTGTTAGGGATGGATTGGATTGGACTGGAATGGGAGGGGAGGGGATGGGATGGATTTTGGATGGATGTGATAGGATGGGATGGGATGGGATGGGAAGAGGAAGGTGCCACAGAGCAAGGAAAGCTCTGGCTGCAGCCAGTAAGTGATTAGCAGCCATGCATATGCAGGCTGAAACACCTGCACAGCATCCCGGCAGGTGTGGGGTGTGCAGGGTTGGTCCAAGGGGAGTGTAGGTCTTTTGCCTTATTTCTGGGAAATCTTTCACCTGAAACAGAGGAGTAGAATGGCCCTGGGAGCAGTGGTCCGTGGATGGTCAGTATTACAGGGTGAATGTGCTCTGCATGAGCTCAGTCTGTTAACAGCAGCTCACCTGGCCTCAGCACCCATCAGGGTGTAGTGGGGCCAGGTCTGAGGGCAGAACCGAGCTCATGAGCCTTGTACATGTCCCCTCAGCAACTGGGGCCTGAGATTTCTCTAATGCATGGAGTGTCTGGTGCAATTGCTGCTACAACCTTAAAGAGAAAGGAATTAACCTGAACAATTGTTTCCATGGTGAAATGTGTTATTTCGGGATCCTATTTGTGGATCAAAGCTTACAGCCTTTTTTCAGGCAGGCTCCTGTTGATGTCAACGGGAAGTATCCTTGATAAGGTCTGCAGGCCTTCTGTGGATGGGGTAGCGTTGTCATTCCTTTATAGCACATCAGTAATGTCTGCAAAGGTTGTCTTGTACCTGTAAGCTTAGCCCTGGGTTGTGGCATTTAGCTTTACCATTCAAGGAAAGAAGCACAAATTGAGTTGTCACAGTTTATTTCCTGTCTTTCCTGCTTTTGGGGAGTATGGGAAAAAACTTGCTGTTCTTGTTCAGTCTCCAGGTGGTCCCTGGTATTTGGGATGTTGTAGCCAGTGTGCTATGGCAATGGAGATGAAGATTCCCACCAGTCCCTTGCCTTTTCCAGCTGTTTTCTCATTTGTACACAAAGGGTATGTCAAGTCCATGCTCTGCACTAAGCAGACAAGCAAACTCTCATAACAAGATGTTAAAAGCAAAAATCTACTTGTCAGTCTCCATGCCTGCAGGCAGGTGTGGAAGGCAAATCTGCAGCCTGATTCCAGATCATTGAAAAAGACTTTCCAGAGCTCCAGCAGGTTGTTAGTGCTGCCATACCAACACGTGGTCTAGTCCTAACACTGTCTGGAAGGATTTCTGCAGCTTCTGCTCACCCTGGGGGGACAGGGGCTCACTGGTACCCTGGGAATGGGGGGCAGTGCGGGGGGGCTCCAGGCAGCAGGGGTGGCCAGGAGGGTTGCTGGGAGTGGAGGAGCTGTGAGCAGAGGAGGTCCGTACTTGGCTGTCAGAGCCAAATTCCAGGAAATTAATTGGGTGGGTGGGTGCCTGCTTGTGGTTCCTACCCCACAAAGGTCTAGCCTTTACGTGAAAAGGCCAAAAAATAACAACAAAAACAAAACCCCTCCATTTTTGCTAACCTTGCTTTTGGGTTACTCCAAGTAAAAGAGGAAAAGTTGAGGAGCTGTAGCAAGATTTTGCTACTGCCAAATTATTTCCCAGTTGTTAGGGGAATAGGGGTTAATAAGTGATAGCCATTTAGAGTTGCATTTACTGTATCAACCTTGATTGTTCTGAAGTCATGAGTCTGGCTTGGAAATCATGAGCACAAACCATTAAAAATGAAGAGTGCTTTGCTTACCTCCACTTTACACACAGATTGCTTCACTCTGCAACAGAGTAAGAGGGTTAGGGTGCTTCGTGGGCAGAAAAAACTGAGAAACTCACACAGTGATTTAACTTCAGAAGCTGACAAAAAGCTGTTATTAATTAGTAGTGCCTAAAAGCCAATTTAGAGTGTAACTGTGAGTCAGGTACAGTAAAACACAGGGTAGTAACCAACCCCTATTCTACAAATTTTTACTAGAAATATGTGTGTGGTGGGAAGGATGCAAGCTGTGTGCATGCTGTAAGGGCAGGAAGAGTTGTGTTGATTCTCTGGTTTTGTTTCTTACAATTTTGTGAATGTACTGGTAGAGAGAGTTAGGAGGGGGCTTCTATATTATTTGGCCAAAGTGAAGCAATTGCAGGAAAAAATGCACATGTGTGTTCCTAAAGAGGGTGACTGTGTGATGGGGGATGGGAAACATAGTCAGCATGGGACAAGGATAAGCCATTGTGTAAGTGGCCATCTCATCTATATGGTCTCCTAAACAAAAATGTGTTGGTGGTAAAAGATTCAGAAAATGCCTCCTGTCCATTTCAATCAAGATAGTTTTACAAGAAAGTGGGGTGATGCATGACTTATGAATATTGTCTATGTGCATCTATGTGTACTATCTGCACTAATGCTGACAGCTCTTTTTAACCAACTTCAAGCAATCTCTGTAACAGGAAAGTGTCATTGAAATATGTTAGCATAAAACATAAAGCTGTTTCTGCTTTGCTTCAGCAAAACCAATTGAGTTTATGGAAAAATTTAAAGTACTAAAGAAGTCAGGGAACTAGATGATAAAACTCATAGATCTAGAGCATAGGCTTCTTCTGACTCATCTGGAGTAAGATTTTAAGAAGAGAGATTTATACTTGCTTTGATGAAAAGAAAACTTGGCTATTTGTGCATGCCCCTGGGGATTTCAGGTGGATTTTTAAAAGCTCACCTTGATGCGAAACCTTATCCTTGCTAAAGAAATGTTGATGGAGCTTCTTCAAGTGAAGAAAGAGACCATAGCTCCTTCCACCTCTCAGGCAGAGAGCAGCTGCCACAGTTAATAGAAACATGATTTGAAAAGATTTTCCAGCTTAACCTAGCGTGTTGGCAAAGATACGCTGTGTGGAAGTAGACTGCAGGTCCTTGCCTCTTTATCCAGGTGCTCTCTTCCCTCTGGAGCAAAGTCTGCCTGTATTCCCAGGCTTTGGTAAGCACTGGGCACAGGCAATGACTGTGGTTTTGCTGCTTCCATAGGAACAGAAAGCACAATACATGAACAGACCTGTGCTATATCACTGGATAAACCCCCTTGCAAAAGCAGGATGAAACAATTTGGGGAAGGATTAGAACTGGCTGAGAGCCAGCAGGTCCGTGGCTGCACAGCCCCACTGGCCAGACAACGGCACGGGGCACTCTGTATCACCGAGTACAGCCAGAGGCTGCAGCGGCAGCAGCAGTTGCAGTTACTGTTGCTTGATAGCCCAAGGAAACCTGCTTTCCCCTGGCTGCCATACCATTTCTCTACAGAAAGGCCATTTCTGGGGCTGTGTGCATGGACCAGGATTAACTCTTTCTCACTATATGGATAGATTACATGGTTTTGTTTTGTTTTGCCCAGTGAGCATGGAATAGATGATGTGAGCTCATCACATTAAAACAGTAATCCTCTTCTGGAGAAAGAGTGGCATATGGGAACTGGGCTCTGCTCTGAGGAGCTGACAGATGATTTTTGTTCTGCTTTGCATGCCATATCAGAATTCAGAAATGCACCAGTGTGCATGCATGTGTATTTCCAGTCCCTCAGGAAAATGTCTGGTTGGGGGAATTTGCTGTGTGGACTGAATTCACATACTACTCCATAAGTAAATCTGCCCTGTGCAAGGGAGAGAACATATTGCTTATTTTACAGTCATTCATTTCAATGATTGTTGCGGTCGTGACAGATAATTTTTTAAAAATACTTCATCAACCTGCTTTCTAATCTTTGGTGCAACTGCTTTAATACAGTCTGTTACTTGGAAGATGCAAAGTGGTGGCTCCCAGGCCAAGATCCATGTGAGACAAAAAAGCAGTATCTTTTCTAGCATCCTAACAAGGTATCCTGCATATACACCTGGTAAATGTGATGGAAAGGAAAAATGATAGGAGGATATAACAGAGGTGGATAGCTGAATGATAGCAAGGGCATTCCTTTAATTATTAGCATTTGCACTAGCTTCTAGCAAGTGCAAGATTATTCTTTCCTTATTTTATTTCATTTTATTTTTTCTTAATAGGGCAAAGTCTTCCTCTTTGACCCATCTGTAGCTCTGATGTGTGCAGCACAGAGCAGTCTTGGATAGATGGTGGCATGTGACAGCACTGGCAGATCCGTAGTCAAACAACTTCAAAACATACAAAAGATCCACAGTGCAGATGGGAGAGTTAAGTTCTACTTTGATTTATAATTGCATCAAGCAATTGTTTCTCTACCAAGCTTAATAATCTCCTGTTGCTGTAAAGCTCTGTTTTCTAAAGTCTTTTCTTTGACTACTAGATATAGGTCACAGCTCTGAAGTAGCAGATGACTCTGAAGGATTTCTGTCTTCTGTGCTGCCTTTTACACTGTGGTGTTTGGTCTAGAAAATGAATTTTCTATGTTTTGCATGAGTCATGCTAGGATTATTTTTCTGAATCTACCACTTTAAATACCACCTATGAACACATCTATATAGCATTTTGCATAC